CCTTAATTAATTCGTTATGAGTTCGCAACGTACAACAGCTACAGCTACACGTCACCCTGTAATGAAAAACCTAAAGACACAAATGTATCACATACCCAAACAATAAGCCAAAACGTAGCCTGGTCACAAGACTCTTGAGACCTGGAAACCATATGTTGAGGGACAATTGTCATAAATGGAAGGCCATGTTTCGAGTCCTTCAAAAGTGCGTACCGATAGCTAATACAACATACAAGACCAGTGGAGCGTCACACATCCCTCTGTTTCTTCGTGAAGCAAAAAGAGCACGTTTAGACGCTGCATCTACTAAAACACGATTCCGAATGCTGCGGGTCACAAAACCGCGACATGGGAAAAAATGATTACTAGCTAACATGATGGCGCTTACGCTGGTTCCTGATCATGGGTAAGGGACGAGATGGCTCAGTGGTTAAAGCTTGAATTTGCTGACCGGAAGGTCCGTGGTTCGAACTCGATCTCTGCATGTCGACTTTCCCTGTCTAGGCTTGAGCAACCTGGCAGTATCTCAGCCCTCGTTTTTCCCTCGGGTGGCATGGCAGCTAGACACTGAAAGTGCTACAGCTGAACGATTTTCTCCTGGGGCAACTGCTCCTCAATTGCTCACTTGGTGGCATTTTTGGCTCATCAGTTCAAACGGTATTGTTGGATTGCATGCTTGAGGCCTACGGAAAAGATCAGGATTGCAGTGAAGAAGTATCACTGCTAGACACGTGTTGCGCTATCGATGACGATGATCCATCGCTCTTGCCCAACCCTTCTGATACAAAGAAAGAAAGCGTTCAGTGTAGCACCCCTTTCGGTGCCTAGCTGCCATGCCACCCGAAGGAAGCATGAGGGCTGGGATACTGCCAGGTTGCCCAAGCCTAGACAGGGGAAGTCGAGTGGCTAAGGTCGGATTCGAAACACGGACCTTCCGGTCAGTAAATTCGCGCTCTAACCACTTGGGCCTTCTCGCCCCAAAAAGCCTATGCGTGTTTCACAGTGTATATCAGAGTATAGTACGAACTGTGTCGCTAGATCCAACAGCTTGCTTTACTATGAATATATCCTGTATGAGGAGGAGCCGGTCGTACCTCTGAGAAACTTGGTCTCTGTGTCTCTGAGCCCTTCATCCTTGATGCACTGTGGCTGAAAAAGGCTGGCGACTGTAAAGCCAAGTTGAGTAGATCAGGGAACGGACGATTGGAGAAGCATCAGGTACTGAGCGTATCGAATGCACCCAACACTACAAGATGTGGGGGTGTGCTAAGTACGCCGAGTGATCGTACTATGAGAATAGCACCGCGTGTGACTTGTTCGTTCCATCTGCCTTAGAGAACAAGTTCCCTAAAACTCCCTGAACACATATAAAGACGTTGCAAGATATGACCACCAACCAAGGTCAGAGGACCTCATTCTGTTACATTTTTATGAGTGTTCTGAAGTGTATGCATCTCATGCGGTCGGATCCCGTTTAGCGCTCACCGTGCAGATGACGACAGTCGACGGTAAAGCGGACTTCTGACCCAGTTGCTTATGCAGGGTGGAACGGCGTGGGAAGGAATCAGTGAGCAAGGAGCTGTGAGGCGAATATGAATTCCAGGTTGCCCAGGTTGAAGATACATTTTCTTACGACCTCCTATGTTGAGCCGCTAACTCTGGGAGAAAGACAGCTCCAAACAATTGAAGTGGGCCGACAATGGTGTATATTTTCAAAAAGAGTACTCGCAGTGAATCTAGTATCCACTGGGTTGTCAGTTTGACTTCGGTTGTGACAAGGCTTCTGGCGTCACTGATTCATCACCTTACGCCGGCACGCGAACCCTTGACCCGTGAGTATAAAGCGGGATTTCGACCGGACAGAGGCTGCGTCGACCATATCTCCACACTCTGCCAGGTGCAAGAGCAACGACTTATCTAGACGATCCATAATCTTGGTGTTCCTTGATTTCAAATGTGCATTCGATCCTGTCGACGGTCAGTGCTCTTAACCACTGTGCTTAAGAAGATAGACTCCAGAAGCTTTTGAACATGATCCAGTCCCTATTTTCATATATTTCTTGGCGTGTGAGTGTATGGTGAACTCTCCAAAAACTTCCCCACAAAAAGTGGTATCCAACAAAGATGTCCACTCTGTATTTTTATTCAACTTCGTCGCTGATGAGATGAGGCAAACACTGGACAGTCTTCAAAATCCCGGTGTTCAAGTCGTCGTTGGTGAGAATCTTGAAGATCTGGAGTACGCAGACGACAGCGTCTTAATCCTTGAAGAAACGCAAGCCCTGTTGAATAAACTAACAGTCATTATACCACATTTTGATATGCGCCTTGTGCCTTCAAAGTTCAAAAGCATGCTTCAGAACGTGCAGTTCATTGACATTCCGCTTACAATTCAAGCACTAGAGGCAATAGTTTTAATCCACAAGCTGGACTGTCTGGGACTGTCTGGGGTGTTGAACATGTGGGTCATTACTAAGACAACCTCACTGTGCAGTTTGGTCGACAGAAGTCGGTTGGACCAAGTCGGTGGTAAACTAAGTGAATTAAGTGGTTTTCGTGAGATTTTCCGACCTGAATGAGTTGTTTCAGTAAGAAACCAGTCATGCATCTGAGGCTGGCCGCTGTGAACAGTATTTTGGATAACAGGGGTTACCAAAATATCCTGGCATTTGCGTGTTTTTAGCTCCTGGTGCAACGCCCAGTAGGTTCACTACCAAAATGATTTCAAGCACTTCACAATATTAAAAACGGTTCATCAGTTTACTGCACTGTGTGGAGGCTAAGAAATAGGATACGACGTTCAGTCAAGTAGAGAACGAAGAAAGACGTGGTCCAGTGGGCACGTATTCCTCGTTTCCCTCCGAATCTTATATGTATGGGCTACGCCTAATGTGAAACTCGGACAAAAAAGTGATGCAGTTCCGGTTTTCGGTGACGCGTACAACAAACCAACATAACATCTAGCGAATGCTGTAGCCCTTTGAAATGCACACGGTGTCATCACAAAAACTAGTGGTGACCTCTAAGATAAATACAATTTTGAGGTGCACATCCCACCAATTTGAAGATTGCACGGTATAGTAATATTCAATCGAGAATTTCCCAACATATCCAGCATAAATAAGGTTAATAATCCTTCAGCTGTAAAACCCTTTCGGTGCTTAGCTGCCGGGTTGTCCAAGCCCAGACAGGAGCAAAGACCTTGCGGCTAGTAAGCTTATGCCCTAACCACTAGGCTATCTCGAATTCTCAAATGCGACACAATATGAATACCTGCCTTCGTTCTATGATTCTGTGTTTTACGCCTCGTTCCGCATGCTATGAAATTGAAAGTCTAGTGTATCAACACTCCTTCGGCCAGATGAACATTCGGCATTGGGCTACTGCACGATTTGCTGATGATTATCACACTTTTAGATCACGCTCAGTTGGCTGGGATAGGATATTGGTAACTCGGATGCATTTACGGATACTTTATCAGGTGGCTACTGATCTGCTCACCAAACTTGGTAACTGACTTGCAGACGTTTCGTCACCATCCGAGGAGATATCTTCATGCGTTGTTGAAGATGCGTACTGGAAATGTGTCTTCTAATCGAGAAGAAACGTCCTCTCAGGAAACAGGTCAAAAGCCACCTGATCAACTAATAATTATGCTGTGTTTCGATCATTCAGCTTCCGTTGCCTAGTTGCCACGTCACTCGAAGAAGGCATGAGGGCTGGGATACTACCAGGTCGCCCAAGCCTAGAGAGAATTCGAGGGGCAGAAGTTGGGTTCGAACCACGGACCTTCCGATCAGTAAATCCGCGCTCTAATCACTGAACCATCTCACAGCTCTCTAGGCCCTGTCCACAGAGGCTGTTTCACCGGGGAAGGACAGGTGCGCTTTCCGAAAATACGGAGTAGAAAATAATGTCAGTCAACTTCAAAGTACCTCTTAAACTAGCAACCTAGTACGATATGTGCGTGCACATAGTAAACAGCAACAGAACCGTGACCGATATGACTTCCTTAGACGACCAAATCGATGCGCCGCACCGGGACGACAAACGTGGAGCACATCGTCAGATGTAATGGTTCCATCAGGGAACATAACGAAACGGATAAAGGACACTGCGAACCATTGGAGGTCCAAAGATTTTGATGGTTTCGGACCCTATCGATCAGCTTGGTGACTCGCTGAGCGCAGACCGTGAATAGCCATCGAGAATAAGTCTCGGTTGTGCGCAAACCCACACCAACAGAGGGAAAACCTTCCAGGTGATGAGCATCTGCAAAGCTTGAGATAATTATTGTTTGATTGAGCCGCGCCAGAGCAATGAGAAGGCAAGCATCCAATAGTTAAGTAGGCCTCCAAAAGGGAGATCTATGGCCACTTGACCAGGACAAATTTTGCTTCCCCGTTGTTTGCTGACCGAATCCCGACGGACTCAGTACTCTCCCAGGGAAGAGCAATAGAAAAATCGATTGACCTGACATGAGGGACCCGGCACAATGGCAGAAAAGTGTAAGCTGCGCTAAGTAACACCTTAGGCTATTTATCCGTGCCTTAGGTTCATCGGAACAAAACTTGATAACTTTTCTGACACCACCCTATATTAACCACACCAAGACTGTTGGACGGGCGTGATGTCTTCGGCTTAAGCATAATAAACTGGCGCAAACAGTGCCTGAATTCTCTCATGGACCCAGCAAACTTCCAAAAGACTAACTTTATTTTAGGACAAACCGAAGCCACGGCGAATGTTTCAGCCAAACACAAATCACTAATATCCGTTACACACATCGCAAATCTTCGAGGTCAGTCTCCCACCACATACTTTACCGTCGTCATCAGCAGCTTAAACCACCCCGTGCCCAGAGTGCCAGCGAAATACTGATATCTACAGTAAATGCAGTCTGCATGCACATAGCCTCTACGACACGCGAAACGCTCAGAAAGACATAAGAAACTCAGGTTTAACAAACGCAACAACCAAATATCTAGTGTTGAACCCACGTTGGTTTAGAGCTGTTAGCAGCCTTCCAGACAAATCGCACAGTGCTGAGTTGTTGCACCTATCCACCAGCTTGTAACCAATGAAACACGGGTCCGTTGTTGCACAGAATTCCAATGAAAGTGATGCGTCCAGAAGGCAACTCCGAACTGCGTTGGATGCGTTCTGAAATACTCGATGAACCTCAGGCACAGCAGAGCAAGGAGCCTGCAAGGTAACTGATAAAATTGGCGTGCAACATACATCAAAACGTAGCAGCATAACATGCGGAAGTGTGTCAAGAAGAGAGGCTTTCCCAAAAATCTGGGCTGACGCAGAACGGAACTCTGTGACTTGATCAGCCAACTCATCGCTCGTGCATAGAAGAACGAAGAAATCCTGTAGGAAATCTGCGGATAAAATCGGGTCATCGAAGTGAGAGCACAGCCTGCAAGATGTACAAATTGATAGCATCTTACCAGAAAGCAGCCAGCCGGACGGAGTGAAAACCTGTAGATGCCAAGGCGCGCAGGCTAAAAATTGTAGGTATACGAGGAGCACTTACGATTGTTCTTTGGTGAACCCAGTCTTCTGAAGAGAAAATAGCATTCTGTAGCATCTCTTCCAAGCACACGTCATCGACGGTGGCATTATGTTGCACCCACGTCCCTTATGCGCGATTGGAGAGCTGCCCCAGTGGGACCACTGTGAACCTCGAACTCTGCCAGTGGGCGACGGAAGCGGAAAAATGAACGGGTAGTTAGAGTTGATTGGTTGATTCTGCAAGCTCATGGGCTCATGACCTTGAAAGGGCACTAGCTGAGCGAGAGCTTAGCATCACAAAAAAATATTTTTAGGATAGAATTTCCCAAACTGGTATATGCGTTGTACCCTAGATATTCGCTGCAAGGATAGGAAAAACAATGAAAAATCTCAACGGTACAGTGAAAAGTTACAAGGACACCGAGTTCTTGAACGCCAGATGGATGATAATGGGCCCTACTCAGAAACGGTATCAAAATCTATTGCTCAAAGAAAACATCCCGTGCTTATCGGTGTTGTGCTTTGCATAAAACAGGCCACTACTCCAGCTAATCCACAATATACATTTGCCACTTATTCGTGAGTGAAGCTGCTCACATATAATCCAGTGCCGTACAAAACCCACTAACAATGCGTGTGATGTTTAACTATTTCGTCCAACATAAATCAACCCTGTAAGGATCCGAATATGAGCGTTGCGTGTCCACGTTCCATGTTAAAATCCAACCAATCACAACCATTCTTATGTCTGTGACAGTCCACCCACAAATAATTGCATGCCTTTTCTAAGTTCAAATAATCACCAGACCGTTAGACTGACTTTAGTTCAATTAGTGAGTTTCACGGGAACCTTGAGTTTCATGGTTTTCCCGGAAATCTAGTGAAACGGTAGGATACTGAATACTCACGCAAGCGAAGAGAATGTCACTGACTGGGTATACTAGTGTAACTTTCAGCCGACCGTCAACTTTATGAAATATGCAGATGCAGTCTCTTCGCCACCGACTGCACAAACCGGATTTGAATGAGTTAGACAGTGATAGATATGGAATTCAAAGAAGAACCTTGTCCATGTTTTTTACATTTGTTTAATTAAAGGCTTTCATAACCATACGTTTTTCTCCTCCTTCGTGTTGTTTTGGAAAAACTTTTGAGGTAGAAAATGATTAAGTGTAACGCAGTATGCGACGTTTAGCATTTGGTTTGCAAATGCTTCGTCACCATACGAGGAGGCATCATCGGTGTGCAGTTGGGTGAGTCAAATGCGCGACCACAGGGTGCCAAGTGTGTAGTGATGATGTCTCCTCTCATATGGTGATGAAAAATTTCCAAGCCAGTTTCCAATCTAAGAGAACAGATCAACAGCCACCTGATAAACAACCGATGAGCTCACCTTAGCCACCAATATTTCAACACATAACCAGAGAATGGAGAGCTTCTTCATTCAGGAAGTATTAGCAGGAGACGTTAATTATGGAACAAAAAAGGTCAAATATGGGCACGTGGCAGGTAAATGTGAAAATCCTGGCAAATAATTTTTCATGTCATAATATGCTGCTGGTGGTTTATAGTTTATGAGTGTATCCTTATTCAATAGTTTAAGGCTGTGTCCAATCTGAACGATAATCAGCCTATAAATATATATTTCCGCATTCATAAAACTGTTACTGGTGGACCATTTGGATTCAATTTTTAAAGCCAAAGGAAGCTGATACTCATAATCCGCCGTTTACAAAGGCGACATTACCGTATGCGATGCTCGGTCGCGGAACCAAGCGAAGGCAAGGCCCAAAAAGAAGTAGTCGGGAGCAAGCGCGGGCATATCGATCCAGGGGAGCTGAACAAGAGTAAGTGACCGTCACCAGCGCACACAGTCTTGACCGCCCACAGCCCCCGTTTTCCACAAAGGCCGCTTTGTCGTGATCTGCAGAACAAGTACTGGATAAGTTTTCTGCGCATAATTGGCTTTGATGCGGAACGGTCTGGAGCGCCTTTAGGTAACACACCGAATTCGTCTTATGAAAAATTAATCCGTCTTTTATGTGTGGGATTTAGCAGGTAATGATTCTAGCAGGATTGTTGGTTGCTGTATTTTTTAAGTAGGGTGTTTCTCACTCTCCCCGCACCACATATTATGGAATCCTCCAATAAGTCTCTGGCTCACCAGTCGAATACAATTATTTCCTTTGGGAATTTTGCTCGAAACAGAAAACATTTTGGATGAAACTATGACATTATATGAATCATTCGAGAACTTAGGATTTTCCAAAACTAGAACCAAGCAGACTTGCACGTTACTTCTTTGAAAATCCAAATCGTTCACGCTTTTTCAGCTTACTATATTTTTACTCGGGATGTGGACTTCAATTTCTCAAATTCTCAGCAAAATATGTCAATTAGGCTTATGCACACACCTGCACATACGTTTGGTTCTGATGAAAGACTCATTTGGAGCCCAGGTGACTCACTCATTTATGCTGTTCTTACTCAGATAATACTCTCATCAGTGCCAAATTTGTTAGCAGATGTGTGTATAATTTCAGTTTCTTGCTGTTTTGGCCAGAGTAGAACATAGGTTTGGTGGAAGCTTGGGAATTGTGCTTAAATGTTGGATCCCAGGGAGGGGCGAAAATTGCTGTGGGCCGCCCAAGTGTTTCGGCATTGGTCATCTGCTTGGAGAGATCCGGTGAGAAAACGTAGTCACGCGACTTTTCTCCTTCGGTTCGTTCGGCGGAGCTTTAACATTGTAAATGAACCATGATAATTTTAATGCGTAAAACCGGAGAAAAAGAACCACTCACGACTGTAATCCAGCAAAACTGGGTGAGGCCAAACCGCGCACAGGTGGGGAATTCGTCGCACCGAGTGAGGTTATGTGAAGTTTGGCAGCAGACGGTTCACGCGATATCGGGCGTCTAACTGGGTTTCACTCTCGCAGGCACGATGAGCCTGCGGTGACATGCGGTTCCAACGCACGTTCACAGATTGTAAGTGCGACTTATAGAGCTTTTAGCGGGTAAGCTCTTATAACCGTAAAAACGTTTGTGCTAAAATCAGGCGACAGTGTACTGGACGATTTTAGCCTTCCTTTAAAATCTAATTATCCATGAGCTCTGCCATCACTGTGTCAGACAACTAGAATGAACCTCTCATGAACTCTCAAAATGTATGCGGACGCTACAAATCGTTGGTCTCCAGACTGACAATTTCCTCGAAATAACAAAAAATGGGTCCATATTTCCTTGGGAGGAGAGTGACCGAAGCTTTTTCATGCATGGCGATCATGGACCTCATGAGGACAGGTGCCAAAAAGAATTTAGGCATCTGCCTCTGTTCAAACTTGTCCTTCCCTCCTTAAGTAAAAAATTGGCGTTGAAAATATTCGTCCTTCTACGAGGATCCAACGCACCCTCCACAGAATTATTCGAATGGACTTCCAGCTACTCAATAAGGCATATACCAGATCGCTCTTCCAATACTCCGACCAGATTGTCTAAACACGAAGCAGAAAAACCTAACCCTCAGGGAGCATGGCCATGCAGCTTGTACCAAAAAGCCTTATGACCTTAAATCTTTTCAATGCGGATTCGTCGGGTTCGGAGGGGCATAATAATTAATCATGCTACCCACTAGTTGGGAATAAATATTATTATTATTATTATTATTATTATTATTATTATTATTATTATTATTATTATTATTATTATTATTATTATTATTATTATTATTATTATTATTATTATTATTATTATTATTATTATTATTATTATTATTATTATTATTATTATTATTATTATTATTATTATTATTATTATTATTATTATTATTATTATTATTATTATTATTATTATTATTATTATTATTATTATTATTATTATTATTATTATTATTATTATTATTATTATTATTATTATTATTATTATTATTATTATTATTATTATTATTATTATTATTATTATTATTATTATTATTATTATTATTATTATTATTATTATACCCTGTTAGAACAACCTGTGTCCGACAGTATTTTCACCGTCAGCCAAACTAACATACTTTTGATATTTGTCTTTTACTCCCATTGCATACAACGTGATCCCTCGTATTGTTGTTTCTGTTTTGCACCTTTACCACCTTCCTTGTTCTCACTTAAACGTAGACCGCTCCCTGACCATGCCATCGCACACGTTACTTAAATCACCACGTGAGTTTCGCCATGTCGTCACTTGAACCGTTTGAAGATCCGGTTGCTGCTTTGAGTAAGGAGATCCTAAACCGGCGTAATCCTACCATCTAAAGTAATTAAAATTTCATTATTTTTATTATTGTATTCACAGCGCCTACGTTGATAGGCCCTCACTCGATTTGACTTTCGGGGTCTTGCGCGCAACTCAACGCAGAACCACGGTTTGCCACGGGCAATCTTGAGTAACTCTTCTGTCACTTGCCTCTTATGTTTCTGTTTAGAAAGTCATATCTCGTCCAGGAGTGTAGCCATTTTTGAGAAAATTAACACATCGAATATTTGGTTTCTGGATTTGTACCTATTTGTGTATTCCTTCCGAAGTTTATAAGTACTGACCTACTGGAAATTAGAAAAACCTCCCTCCCGGCTGTCCGTCACATCGGTTACTATCCACTTCCTCGTCCCTATGAAGTTGAGCGACTTTTGATGCAATCACCTGCACCTTTTCACAAAGCGCAACTCAGTGACCAAAAACGTCTACCCCCCGAGCTTAACGTTACTTGAACGCTCAACTCAATATTACTGTATTTTCACGTTGAAAATCGAGATTTCGCGTTAAAATGATTCATAGCTATCGTTCTATCCGGACGAATTGTACCCCAGTCCCAGAGTCCCGTTCATAATCGAGGCCCGGTACCGTGCATTGTCCAGTTGTAACAGATATTCACTATCGGAGGTATAATCTCAATAATTTGGAAGCCAAAATATGCAGTGTCTACAATCCGTCGTCACATTTGCCATTCTTCCTGAAATTAAACCACACTTTGTAACTGTCGTTCACATTGCATCATGACGTTTGTTTTAATGTTACGAATACACAATTTTCCGGCGCGACCTGCTGACTTCTTGCTGAACGAGCGTATTTACGGCCGTGGGCTAGACGCGTTGACTGTTGAACCAGTGGGACTAAATCTCTGTTTGTGTCAACTGT